AGAAACGACATCAATTTTCGTGACTTTAGTGAGGAAGAACGACGCGGAATGTAGAAATAAACATTCAGATGAAGTTGATGATAATGCAAATGATTTTTGGGATACATTGGAGATTGCTCGCGATGATGATGCTAATATTCCCGTTACAATTGTTCCTCATCGTGACATCACTGTGACACACATAATTCAATCGGTAGTTCAGAACAGCGATAATGCAAGGATTTAATTGCTTTATCCCGTCAGAGACATGAGCAGGGTAGGAACTCAGGGGCCGGAACGAGTGGACCTTCATCTAATTCTTCTTCACATGTGGTTCTCGATGATGAAGATCTGAATGTTGAGCAACTATTTGAAACGAAGAAAGATTTGCAAGAAGCTATGCACCTGCTGGCATTGAAATTCAATTTTGAGTTCAAGGTAAAGAAATCAAACAAATCCTTATTGACACTTCTTTGCGTCGACGACAGTTGCCGTTGGTGGCTGCTAGCGATTAAGATAGATATGAATGAATCATTTGTAGCTCGCAAGTATACACGTGAACATACTTGCGAATTGAGAATTCGTCAAAACGATCACAGACAAGCTCGATCATGGTTTATTGGTCAATAGATAATGCACAAGTATTAGGACCCATGGACGATCTACAGATTTTCAGCATCATTAACGACGTCCGACCAGAGTACGGAGTGGTCATGAGCTATCGAAAGCCAAAGAATGCTCGTTGGAGGATTTCATGGGCTCGACCGAGGAGAGTTATACTAAATTGGCCAGATATTGCCATAATTTGGGGACAATTAATCACGATTCCAGTTTTTTCATTGAGACAAAGGGCGAGAATTGCTTTAAATATTTTGTCATGGCTCTTGGACAATGCATTAGAGGATTTAAAAATGCAATGCGACTTGTAATTTTACTCGATGGTACAACTCTGAAATCGAGATACGGGGACAAGATGATTATTGCTACATGTCAAGATCCTAACATCCAGATTTACCCACTTGCATTAGGCGTAGTCGACAGCGATAATGATCTGTCAATGCGTCGGTTCTTTACGAAGCTTAGGGATGTGATCAGGGAAGTCGATGATCTTGCCTTCGTAACTGATCGGGGTCAGTCTCTAATAAATGCTATCGCTGAAGTTTTCCCTGGACACATCATGGGTACTACATGTACCATATATAGGGTAATATGAAAACTAGATACCGGGGCCAAGACATCGTTTCATTGTTCAGGAGGGCGGCCGAATCTTATAGTGTCGAGGAATGTAATAAGTTTATGGTCGAGATACGAAATAAGCCCTTGCCGACATGGGATTATCTTACAAAAATGGGGATAGAACATTGGGTGCGATCACATTTTCCAGGACGTCGATACAACTTGATGACATCGAACAACGTGGAATTTCTGAATGCATTATTCAAGAAGGATCGAGAGTTACTAATTCTCGCAATGATTGAGAACATCCGTACCAAGTTGCAGCAGTGGTTTCACGATCGACGTGCGGAATCGAAGAACTGCTCGATCTGGCTAGCCCCGGCTCAAGAGGATAAACTATTTAAGGCCGCAGAGGTTGTGAGGAAGTTGATTGTAGAACCGCTGGACGAGTCGCGCTTCACCGTACAATGTGCACGTCATGTGGCATACATGGTGGACCTGACTAACAACACATGCACTTGTACTCGATTTCATCTAGAGAGTTTTCCAGCGAGCATGCAATCGCGGTAGCTATGAATAGAGGCTTTGCAGTGAGAACATTATGCTCTCTTTATTACATGGCTGATTATTGGAGAGTTTGCATATGCTGAGACTATATTTCCCCTACCGAACGAATCCGATTGGGAAGTTCCTGACGATATTCTCTCACTTAATAGTTTGTTGCCACTGGTAGTTGAACCGCGTGGCCATGGGCGTTTACGAACTTCTAGAATACCCTATA